AACACATTATTTTTAGCTTTATTCACACTAGAAGTTGGATTGGAGTTTGAGGATATAGTGAGGACCTTCTATGTTGGGATGTCATCTTCATCTAAGAGACATAGCTAGGCGTGTTCTCCTTTAGCATACTAATACCATCATCATCATCACCAATGTTAAAATGTGCACTACCGCCAAATTTGTCCAACATATTTACCGCATTGTCTCCTCTAGCAACATCATCTCCAATAATAGTTGCAAGGTCTTCATAATGTTTCATGAGCTTGTTGATGTATTCCCTAAGGTTAGAACTATTGAAACTCTTGTCCTACATAGTTTAAACATATATCAAGTCCATATGTAAACAAAAAGGAACAAAATACTAAATATTTGATTAAAAAAAGAATAATAAAAGTTTTGATACCTCTAGCCATCTATCAAAGCAAGCATCATTCATAATTACCATCTTCTTCGCATCATTCCAACTGGCACCGCTCAAGTTACGATATTTTTGCATGTCAAAATATCTATTGCGGATAGTTATCATACGGTTTTTCACGTTCTCGGTTGTGAATGTCCAACCTAATTGTTCGTTGATATGAATGGCGGCCCCACAATAAGCGGTCCTTTTAAACTTCTTATCGGCATTCATTCCATTTTTGACATTAAGAAAAGGAATTAGCAAATCATCATGTTTACTCTCCCATAATTGGTTAACTCTCCTATTTGTGTCTTTCTTTTTAGATTTATGAGCAAGCGCTTTCTTGTTCCTCGTTGGGTTAGAGGATGTACTTTCATCACCATCAATATCAATAGCATTTCTCTTATTGCTTTGACATTGTTGATTACGTGGTGAAGCATTTAGCATGTTCATGAATGAAATTGATGGTTGTTGGCCCATTCCAAAATAGTTAGCATCTTACATTTGAAAATTATTCTAAAAATTAGGACATTGGCCAACTTGTGAAGAATGATAATGAATAAATCCCGATTTGAACCCACAAGGGATTGATGAATTCATTGGGGTTCTAGGAGATGAAAGTTAATGTCGTACTTTTGCCTTTGACCTTATCAAGTTCCTCACAATTGAAGTTGTCGGCCATACCTAGAAAATAATTATAGAGAAAAACATAAAATAAATGTAAGTTGAGTAAAAATATGCGTCCTAAGAGAAAAGTCCATACAACACATAAGATCATCATACAAATGTTTCCCAACGAATAACTTAAATAGTTTTACATACTTCATCATAAAATAAAGTACTTGAAAATAGAAAAATTCATGACATCCTCTAGCAACTCTAATACATTGCATCACTACAAAGAGAAATAGTTTCACATGACTATTTAATTAGTGTTCCCTTCCTTATATTTTTCACAATAATCAACCCACATCTCCTAAGCTATTTGATTTCTATTATCCTTCCATGTGTTTCTTGATTGTGTGTGCTCCATTTGAGTTTGGGGTTGAGAAAAATCAATAATATTGTTCTCATCTTCATTAGCAACATCACATTCATCCTCTTCAATGCCAACGGTCTCATTAAATATGTCATCATCCAGGTCAACCATTGTAATATAATTGTGAAGAACCGTGCAAGCTAATATGATATCGACTTGTACGGGAAAATGGTAATGGGGCTTTGCGGTAAGAATCTTGAAACAATTATTTTAACAACCAAATGTAGATTCAATGTTAGACCCTAAAGAAGAATGTCTAAGATTGAAGAATTCCCTTCTATTTTTTGGCGTTCTTCTTATTTGTTCCTTCAAATTGTAACGTACGTCATGATACGGGGAGATGAAACCCGACATGGTCGTGTATCCCACATCACTCAAGTAATACTTTCCTACAGTTTACATGATGTAAAATTGTCTATTAGAATTTTTATCATTTTTAATACCGTTTATTACTTAAAGTAATTATTTATAATTGGAGATTTAATGAAATTACCATCATATACTCTCAAGCCATGAGGTTATGGCCTAGATAATGCATCTTAAAGGACTCTATAGTTATTTGCAAAACTTTCCCACTAGGCCAATACGTAAGCGAATAACTTGTTTGGAGTACAAGCTGCTAAAACATTTTGTGTGACTCTTTTTCGACCATGGTATCGTGGAACAATAGTGGCATGTAGCATACTATCGACATGTGTTCTATCTATCATACCAATGCAATCCTAAAGACCAAAAAATTACTATTGAATATTTTTTATTAAATCAAATAAATATGCTTTTAATCACAAATTATAGAGAGAATACCTTGAAAATAAGGATAATATAGAGGGTTATTAAGGATCTCTTGTGGAACTTCATTCCATGCTTGTCTCAAAAAGCGTGGACGTATGTAGCATATTGATTCTAACACCTTGTTGAAATATCTATTTACAGTCTCACCAGATCTAATAAAATGTAACCTAACAGTTCGATTTTTAGTTTTATGCCCCCATAATATTTAAAGTCATAGTAAGTTGTTCCTCCACTGTAACATATCTTGAGCCTCGTAATAAATCATTCATCCTCATAATCTCTGCAAGCTTCATAAAAGCACTATTGTGCATTTTAACATAGTTACCATAGCTATCACTAAATCCATTATATATCCGATCCATGTGATGTTTTCTATTTTGATCTTGCTTTATTTTCTCTTCACTAGGATATGCACGTATAGATCTAAGTCTACTTTGCATTCTCCTCATGAATGCCATAATCATAACTAAAACAGATAATGCAGCACCTGAACACATATTAATTACAACCTCTTCGTCGAGATCACCATCCATCTAAAATAGAAGCATTGTATTAAAGCAGATACTAACATTAATTTAGAGGCAAATGATCAAAGACTATAATGAGAATTATTTACTAAATTAAGCACAACATCATATAACCGAGATCATAACAAGTACATATTTTTGTTATAATGAGGTTCTAATGAGGATCAAGTTAAAATGAGATTCTAAGTTGATATAAAATAAGCATATTATGTAAAATATTAAATTCCTAAAAGTTAACCTGAATATTTGTGCACATCACATGATTCACTATTTGTTTTGTGCAACAAGCACATATGCATCTTGTGCACAAACAAACAAAAAAAAAAAAAAAAAAAAAAAAAAAAAAAAAAAAAAAAAAAAAAACACTTGTGTGAATGTTTCCTTAGCCTGCACAGCAACCATGTGAGCACTTAACCCCAGTCGGTGGCTTTTGTGACTAGACATCAATTCACACTACTCAGTTCATGCACAATGGTAACTTGGATTCATGCTAACATCAGTACAAGGATACTGATCCGATCTTGATCAATTTATATTCCAGATATCAAAATTTATACATATAGTCCTTGATTGGCTAGGATTTGTATATTTTGATGGTGTGTGAATCGTGTATCTCTTGTATGTACTCTTACTTGATTGAAAGCAACATGACATAGAAATTCAGGATATCTGAAAATGCTGATTTGCCACAGAAATACTATACTTTGTTTAGTGCCCTTTGGTTAATTTCGACATCATTTAGTGTTTGGTTTTTCAAAAAATTTCCTAAACCATAATTAGAAACCGAAAAATTATGAAAGTGATCATTGCACATTCATCAACCAGATATTTTTAAGAGTTTATTTAGTTAATAATGATGTAAAATTAGCAACCAAACAAAAGGAATTTAAACTTCTTCTCTTCCCTAAGTACATCCAAAGATATTAATGCTCAAGTCTTGCCAGTGATAGGTAATGTAGCAAAAAATACTTGTAATGTAGCCAAAAATAATTGATTAAAAAGGAAAGAGGAAAACTACAGCATGGAGATTCACTCATCCTAGGAATGTTACACAAAGGATTATGCGACTAATACTAAATGCAAACGTGTATTAACAGCTTGCAATAAAGGATCAAAAAGTTCTTGAAATCATAAGCAGACGAGGGAAATATAACTATATATATTTATAATATATTATACTATAGATGGATAGAGAGAGAGATAGAACGGGAGAGAGAGAGAGAGAGAGAGGAATATGGGTATGTTGGTCACAAAGCCACAAAATTCTATGGCTTAGTAGTGAGGTGAATATATATCCTCCACTCATTCAAATGGGCGACAACATTCACAATGAGTTCGAATGTGGTCCCCCCAATTGAATGACGATGGATGGGAATGAGACACCTGCACTACCAAGCAAAATTTGTCTTCGGTACCAATATACCATTTTTCTCATATATATAAATAATATATATTTATATAACGAGAAAACGTTGTTGTCAACTTAATGTGACGTACCACTAAGTTTATTACCCAATTGATGATCACTTGAGTTGAGCTGCTTTGTGGATTATCCGACTCGCGTTGAACGTTATCTACATATTTCTAAAACCCCAACACACCAAATTTTAGGGTTGACCGTTCATGTGTGCACTTCATCACTGTATCAATGTTTAATGTTTCAAATGAATTAGAAACTCTTTTACATGCCTCGACGGAGGTCAAAACCACGACCGGGTTCCACCCAAATTTCCGGTGTGTT